GTACTCAATTTCCTTTTGTTACCACCGGAGTAGCTTTTGATCTCCTTATCGATGTGTTTGGTGAAATTCAAATTACTGGCCAATCGAGCACTCATCGCTGAGATATCTTTACGGCGATAGCCACGCAATAACCCAAAGATTTCCAATGTTTGAGATCCTGTCAAATTGTCAAGTAGCGCATCGAATTGCGGACAGTATCCGATCATTTTATGCACTTCAGCTAAATGAGTTTTAAGGCTGAGCCCATTCACAAACACGTCTCCACTTGAAATTGGTGCATCACCCGTTATCATCTTGAACGTTGTTGTCTTACCCGCTCCATTGATACCAAGCAATCCAAAACATTCCGACCTGAATTGAAAAATAAAAAGTTGAGCTCATGTTTCGAATCAATTTCGGAAATAACCATTTCTGAACATAATTGGAAGAATCATAGAAAAACTTACCTTTTAACTGCAACGCTGATTCCTTTCACCGCCAAAAAATCTCCGTAGAACTTTGTAAGATTCTGCAAGACCAAATTGTGTGCTTGTAAATTCTCCCGAGTCATGGCGTTGACTTTGTTCTTCTCATTTATGACGTCGCCATCGATTGCATTGCTCACGAGTAAAAGTGGCGATGGTTGACTCGAGGGACGGCGAATGTAATGTCTAATGGTCGAAATGATTCGACATTCAATCATCCATAAAATGATGAAAAATACGATTGCTGTTATGGTCATGTACGTTAAACTGCGACCAATGCCAGGCTCATCCCATTCGTATATGTTTTTATCTGGAATATAATATTAGAAACAGCGTTAACATGAGTGATAAAATTTTCTCAACAAGATCGTGATCATCATCGCTTACCATATTCAGTTGGATCACAGGTAGCATTTTGGCTGACATCACTTATGTTTAATGTCCCATTTGTTGATGCCAATAGATGAGTATTGTTACTAGACAATAAATTTTTCAATCGTTCACACTCCAAGTGCCACACGTCGGCCTTAATTCTGAACTGATTCATGTTGAATAAGCTGTATCCCAACGCGTAATGTGGAAAAGCTAGGAATATCCACTTGAGTCCATCTGCCATTTTAGTTAAGTCCAATATCGGGAGCAACATAATGGTTATCAATTTGAAGAAGCTGGTTCCTGCAAATATCATGTTCCCACAATTGATTTAAAACGTATTCTTATTGGCTGCTAATACAAAATCAAAAATGAGTTTTACCAGTGAATACGAATGTGATGGCCAACGCAACGAACCCATACGAAGCATTTGAGAATAGAAACGATGCGACAAATGTGATGGCAAAAGATGAAAGGCCAAAAGTGGTGAGAACTGCAATCAGAGGCCCGAGCTCGCTGGCTGTCGACCAATATTCTTCTTGGAATGACATCACCGTTACATAAAATACTGCCGAGGTTAAAATGTATGTTGCGAAGTCGAATAGGAATGATATCACCCAGAATGTTGATGCATCGACGCCACTTATGAATTGAAGTAACTTCGCTTTTGAGGCTCTTTCTCGAATGTAAAACATAATGTATAACGCCATGGTGAATGCCATTGCGAACGAAATGTATTTGGCCAACTGACTGCCCATGTCGTTTCCGTTCATTGTTAGAACAATCTTAGATTCCGGCCTGAATGGAATGGGATTGTTCGACACTTGAATACTGTAACCATCGCCGAGATTGCTCCGCAAGAGTGCATTATGGAGTAGGTTGAGCGAGAGTGGCGCCGTATGAAACAATTGATTGTTGAACCAAGCAATGAATGAGTGGTTGTGATAAGACAAGCCAACCAAATGTCTGGTGTTTGTTCGAACTTTTATTTCATTTCCAAGTTTCAAGAAATGATGCTGAATATCCTCATCGAATTCGTCCAAATTATGGCTTGCATTTTCCCGCAGTCTCTGGCGATATTGTGCAAATGTACTGAAAATGAATCCATTAGTAAAAATTATTCATAATTTCATCGTTAAATTGTCTTAATTTACCTATTGATTAAAGGATCGATTCGGTTCCCTTGTGGTGTTTGCACCATTGTCTCTGTTCTTTCGTAACGATTCAAAGATATATTCAGTTCTGGAAGATTATTGAAATCCTGTGCAACACGAACGAAAATTACACTAATTGCCGTGAAGAATATTATAAAAAAAATTTGCACCAAAAATAGTAGCCACGTATTTGTCCAGCAGTAGAACCGCTTTTTGAACATTGCAAACCATTGATTCATATGTAGCCAGAAGCCATTAAGTAATTCACTTTTCGACGCTTCGATATCAAATGAAACGTGATTGGAAATTTGACTAGGTCTTCTGTTATCACTCCCAACCTTAAGGAACACTTCTTCCAATTCCGTTGAAGAAACTCCGAAACGCTGCAGATTCAAGGCATCGAGTTCATTTTCCAATCGTTCAAACATTCTCGCAAACTTGTCTGACTGTTCGTATGGCAAACCGTATGATATCTCTTCTGTATCCTCCTCCAATAGTTCAACGTTCGGAATGAATTCACGTAGAACTCTCGTAACCTCGCTCGAAACACAGTCTTCTTGCTTAGCGCAAATCAAGCGATAACCATCACCAAAGCGTTTCTTCAAGAAAAATGTAGTTCCACAACACTTCACCTCACCATCGGCCATTATTGCAATACGATCGGCGAGCACATCGGCTTCGTCCATGAAATGCGTCGTCAAAATGATCGTTCGACCCTTCTTCTCCGCTTGCAATAAATCCCACAGCTCTCTCCTCGCCGCCGGATCGACGCCACTAGTCGGCTCATCACACAAAACCACCTTGGAATCGGCACACAAAGCGATGATGAATGATAGCTTCCTTTGCATTCCTCCCGACAAAGCATGAGATGGAGTGTCAATCTTTGACTCTAAATTCAATATTCGTACATATTTCCTGAGCTCCTTGTCAACGGCGCTCCATTTTAATCCTTTCAGTCGACAATAGAATTCGATGTGTTCGCGAACAGTTAGTTCGTCAAATAGAATATCGTGTTGTGGACAGATACCGATCGACTTCCTTGCATTGTTGAGATCAGTTCGAATGTCATATTCATCTATGATCGCCGTGCCTGATGTCGGTGGAATCATTCCAGTTAAAATTTTCAAGGTCGTGCTCTTGCCAGCGCCATTATGACCGAGCAGCACAGTTATTTGATCACAGAACATATTGAATGTCACACCTTTGCAGGCCACTTTGCCGTTGTCGAAAATCTTTCTGAGATTTTTCACTCTCACACCAGCTACACAATCAGTGGGCTCAGGTTCGAAATTTTCGTGTATTATTTGTTCCTGGTGATTGTCAGAACACTCTTCCGATTTCGAGCCGCTTTCCTTGCCAAACCAAAATTCCTTTTTGAATGCAAAGTTGCAATCTTCAGGCACGCCATATTCGCCAGGGAATACCTTTTCAACGTAGAGCGCTATCAAGAGAAACACAGCCGACGTCATTAGCATGAAAGAAATTGTGGTTCCAATTGTGAAATTGTTCTCAATTATTGGATAGCTCCAGAAGTTTGTCCATTGCAATCCTTCACCGGAGCGCTCGAACTCGATGATTGATTTGCATCCGTAAGCCATAGCCACATTTGGCGAAATACAGGAAAGCAGTTGCACTATAAATGGTACTTTGACCTGATTTATTGTCAGAAAAATGTACGGCATATGTGAAACAAACCACATAAGTCCCGATACAGCTGCAGCAGTATTTGCTTTTGAAAAGAGGACGCTGAGCATGAAGCAATAAGTTGTCATCGCGATGGAATAGACAAGCAAAAATACCCAAATTGTAAACCAATTTGAGTTTGTGAACACAGCAACAGATGAGTCATACATTGGTATCTGAAAGAAAATGATTGGTTTTTGGTTTAAGTAATGCTTATACTTTCAATTCATTGAATTAATAATTCCAAATTAAGGTTTTTACTCGCCCTAATGATAGCTAGTATGCCAACGAAGCATGACAGCAGTTAGTGCGAGTGTGACAAAATTTGACACCGCCAATATCTCAGCCGTTCTTCGAAATTACCTTCAGTAAACCGATCATCAATGTGATTGAAACGATCATAAAAATCATGGTGCGCACAAACCAACTGGTCCAATGCAACCAAACGGGCATTCCCATGATTTTCATCACCTCTTTCAGCTGCTTCTCCCTCTCGACGGCGATGAATCTTACGGTGCCAATTATAGGATACACAAAACTTAACATGATGAACAAGCCAACGGCATCTGTCAAACCGTTCAGAAGAATGTCATTTAAATAAGGTGGATACGGGAATCTTTGCATTTCAATGCTTGGTATGGAGATATTGCCGACACATGTCTTTAGTTCAATACATCGATTTATTGTGTAAGACCATGCAATTGCATTTTGAATGGCCAAGAATCCATCCGAATAGTAGAAAGGATCACCTCCTTCATTTGATGTCTTCACACGTGGTCCACCGCCAGACAATAGTGGGTACAATAAATTCGTCTGCCAACTAAAAGCTGTTAATTTATCATTGGTTTCAGTGCGCAATTCACTTGGAAAGCGCAAAGCATATACTAAATTCTGTGGAAGCTCCGTAATATTCTGTAAATTGACATATTTTTTCGATTATTTTCAGTTTTGTTTTCATTAAATGTAAAAATTAGCGGAAGCAAGTAAAAGAAGGTGTTTCAAAGAATATTACCGCTGAATGATCGAATAAAACGCCGGCTAAAAACTCTCGTTCTATCATCAATCTCTCAACTTCCTCTGAACTATTTACACCATATATAACGGTAAAATTGAAACGTATGCTCGCTAATTGAAGTAAATCCTCAAACACCTTATTCTTCGGTGAATAAACTAAGCCCCATTCTCTTAAGTGAATATCACGGCACGTGTTTGTCTCACTAAATACAAACCAAAAGTTAGTTGACAAATTTTTTCATACGCATATTGCTACTATAAAATTTTATAGTTTTATATCTTTAAAGATACGGTCGTTTAATTGCGTTCATTGTCAATTCGATATGAAACGGTCGTCGCGTAACGTTCGCATTATTATTTATGATGTCATTCGGGTTAAATTCAGCTACAACTAAACGAATGATTAAATACTCTGAGAAAAGAGATTTATGTTTATGTTATACTTTTTGTTTTGACACTTATTTCACAACAAGAACTTGAAAACTTTGTGGTGATTTTCGGTACTAAATATATTTTTTCCGCTGAAGCACCACAAAGTTTTTTTGACTTTGTAGTGAAAAAAAAGTTAGAAATATTTTTGGTACCAGAAATCACCACAAAGTTTTCAAGTTCTTGTTGTGAAATAAGGGTCAAAACAAAAAGTATAACATAACCATAAATCTCTTTTCTCAGAGTATGCATATGACATCATGAATGTCTCTATGCTTGTTGGGAATACGAAACGATTGCGACGACCATTTGGTGCATCAAATTATCAATTGAAAACTATGGAAATAAATACGCAATTCCCAAGAAAGTTTCAGTCATTCATAAGTACTCACAGTGATGGGAGCTCGCTGATATTGAACGAATCGAATTTAGTGTTTTCTGTGTTGATTTCAGGCTTAACCATAATTCGTATCAAAATTAAATTGGCCGTAAACAAAATCGGAATCAGAATTTGGATAATTGTTTGTACTTTATGTCGATATTGGAGCAAAAAATTCTTCCACATCAACAGTCGAAATTTATCAAAAATATTGGCGGTTTTTCGTTCACATTCTTCAATTCGCTCGTGTATATAAACGCCATTATCTGATGGGTGGAAGCTAACGTTAAACGTGCGAGTGTCGTCAGTTTCATTATCTATAATTGTGAAATTATGATTAAAATTGTGAAAAACTAACGATAAAAAAACGACACAAAAAAACCAAAAAAAAAAATGTTTTGTGAATATTACCGGTGAAAAATCGCTGTATCCAATTATAAATCACACCACGAAATTGCATGTTGTTCAGTTTTAGAACTGTGAACAAAAACAATGAACTTAAACTTGAAATATTTGCACGATACCACTTGAAACTGTTGTGGTTAACTAAATGTGTATTGGTTTGATAGCTCCAGCGATCTGACTCAGAACCAATCGCTCAGACAGCTGACTTTATACTGTACCGAGCTACACGATTTGTACATACGTAAAGTGAAACTGTCAAGAACTGTTTTTATCAAATTAACTTATTAATATTCTTTTTTATCAATTCGACGAATTAAATAAATGAATAAATAATAGAAAATCATCGATAAACTAGTGCAATGGTAACATCATCTAATTTATTGTTTTAAATTGATTTCCTGAATAGTTGGGTTTGACCAAGAAATGAAATGAAACTAATGCTGATGGTAAAAAACCCATGCAGTTGGATATTGAAATAACGTAAATTATTCAGAAATATATGTACCCATGTATAATAATTATGTGCAAAACTAATTTTCCATTGGAAATGGAGCAAAAATGGCGAACTACTCAACTAAAAAACAATTTTTTCAAAAGCATAAAGCAAAACGACAACTAGGTCAAAGCCGGTCAAATGCCGAAATCAATACACACTGATAGACAACGCACGATTTAAAGCTCAATAAAGAAGAAAAAGCCGAAACCTTAGCAAGTTGCTAATAGCAACACACCTTGAAAATTTGCGCATACTCACTCAATCAGTATTACGTCAGTTATAGAATCAACAGTTAATGCTCCTTTTAATTTCGACAACACACGCAATTCACTGTTGATATGCCAGCTAATAGTAAAGGTTTATCAAATTTCATAGTCCAAACACAAAATGCAAAAAAGTATATCTATAAGTATAGTGTAGCACAAGGCACTTGAAATGACTATAAAAGGAATTTCAACCGAGTTAACATTTTTATGCCGCCGAACGATAAATAAACGTAGAAAAAGATATAAAATCACTTGTCAATCTAAAGTGGAATCATCGATAAGGTATCTTCTCGACAATATCTTATCTATAAATATTATTTATTTAATTTACCTGAAATGAGATGGATAGTCGATGGAAGATGTGCCGAAGTGATTTCGATTTGGGCGATTTTAATTGTAGATTTTATGTAGTATAGTGTAGTGTTTCGAGATAAGTCATGGAAATTGGTCAAAAATTGATAGCACTCAAATCTTGGCCACAAATTAAACTTTCCATGAACTGAATCTTCCTCTATTGTTACTAGGTTCCATAAAATTGTAGAAAAAATGTAGAATTCAAATCAGTTACCCGATTCTTGATGTTTTCAACGATTCATTTGACTTCTCATCGACACGCGTCACCAGAATTTCGGCTGGTACACAGTATTGTAACCAGTTGCGGCTTTGATCATACATTCGTTGATGTGAATACGGTTTACCAGTTACAACGTGTGCGCATAGCGCGCGATCCAAGACGACACATCACTTCGCAAGAAGTTGGGCGCTTCGCACACACGTTGTAACTGGTAAACCGTGTTCAGACTAAATATGACATAAACAATCGTACACACGAGCCAGAACATGCTTTGATGCATGTTCGCATCACCAATGTATGACCGAAGCTGCAACTGGTGAAATGTGCTGTGTACCAGCCGATTAACTGGTGACGTGCATCGCTGAGTACAACAGTGTTTTTACTTTTTTACGGGAGAAAAACTGCTCCAAAATTATTTTAGTAGTTTTAGTGGCCCTAAAATAATTGTAGAAGCATTTAGGATTATCAACATTCAGATTTAAAATGCATATTTTGATAATTTTCTTGAATTTGAATGTTTTTAATGATTTTATTCAATCCGGCTTATTTGATATTTCTTCAAAGAGTAATCCAATTTTGAAGTTTTCATGATTATATACATAAAGAATAAGAGATATTTTATATCTTAAGATTACATAAAGATAATAGAAGTTCTATTAAAATAAACAAATCTTCCAATAAAAATGACAAAACGGTCAATAAAATTGACATTGCTTTCAATAAAATTGCCATATTGAGACAATATTTTTTGACTAAACAAAATTGAAACATAAATCTGACACATAGTAAAGCAATAAGATCATACTTGAATCTTAAATCGAATTGAGTTTGACTTGGTTTAAGTTGAAAGTTCTTAATTATAATCGTTTTGCGTTTGCTCATCATACGGTTTTGTAAACGATAAGAATACTTGTTCAAGCGTAGCTTGGCTTATCGAATAATCTTCGAATCCAAGAAGACTTTTGGCTGATTCTACACGATCAAACATTGAAGACCATTTCAAATCACGGGTTTGTGGCACATAATAAGTCAGAAGACCTTGATATTTTTCCCTGTAAAAACATACCATCAAAATTTTTGCACTTTGGTTCAATCGTTTTTTCGTAACTTACTTCAAATAAGCGCCTTGGAAGTTATTATGGATGAAATAATTGATTCGAGTTTGAACTACGTCTGAGTTCACTGATGTTGACGTAGGATTTCCTTTCGATTTGGATTTATTATAAATTGTAAGCAAATATCCTTTGGAGAATTGATTTTTGAGATGTTGCGCAGAACCTAGGCATTTAAATTCTCCGTTCACCATAATAGCTAAGCGGGTGCACAGCGCTTCACACTCTTCCATGCTGTGCGAAGTTAACACAATCGATGTACCTGAATTACAAGCCTGTGATACAGCGCTCCATAGATTGCGTTTTGCACCTGGATCCATGCCTGAGCTTGGCTCATCTATCAAACGAAAGAGAATTCCAAAGTATTATCTCTCTCAATAGAAAATCGATGATTATTGCAAAGATACCTAAATAGGCAACGCTTGGATTGCCCAACAAGGCGATAGC